TAAAATCCATCTTTTTAAGTGGGAGAACTTGCACAATTGGTGGCTGACTAAATACTTTTTTGCCCCACTATATACTGTGTAGAACTTTTTTCCCAACTTCAGTACCATGGATTTTAGATGCCTCGCTTATTCTTTAATAAATACTTAAAGTATTGTAAGTATTAAAGTATCTTAAATACTTAAAATATTTTAAAAAAATACTTCCTAATGGCCATGTACATGCTTTTAAAAGAAAACAGCTGAGAAGAGGGGAACTAGTCTTACTAGAAGTATAATGTCATTTATATTTCTCAAACTGCTATGCTTAAACAGTTTTTAAAATGTTTGGGAAAGGGAGGCACTCTAGCCAAAAAAAGAAGATACAGAAACAGCCTATTTTAAATTAGTTGCATATTTTAAGATACTTACTCTTGTATTAGTGTTTTGTTCCTAAAAATGAAAAGATTGCCAAAATTAGTTTCGTCGTAAACTCTTGGTTTTTTTTCTTTAATTGAAAAGAATTAAAATGTTTCCCTAAAGGATAGATATAGATATTTGGTATCTACTTGTGCACATTTACATATGGGACTTGAATTCTAATGGAGTTAACTTGGACCTGCTGCCTTATTTTTAAGCTTGAGAGTGGGATAAAAAGGAGAATATTGCATGCTTATTTTGGTAATAGTTCTTCAAAAAGTAAAGGCTGGGGATGCATTGAAATTGTATTGTGCTTTCCCTTAGATTAAGGAAGCGAAATTTCTTTCAGAAGGAGGAAGCACCTCCAGAATTGGGCAGAGTTGAAATTATGTTAGAATATCCAAATATTAATGTGCAGGAGCTAATAAAGCTGAGGACTAGTTTCCTCAAATATTGGAAAACAGGAACTATTGAATTATAAAACAGATGAAAAATGAGTAGCTACTTTTGAGGCCTAATTAGTATCTTACATCATGAAAACATTGATTATTTTTACTTTCCCTCTAGTGCTTTTGTCCATATGCTCTCTACTTTGTGACCCTAATCCAGATGACCCTTTAGTACCAGATATTGCACAAATCTACAAGTCAGACAAGGAAAAGTACGTATAAATATTGTTTCAAAAATTGTAAGATACTAGTTTGTTCTTTTCTGGGTTTTTTTTTCTTGCACCACAAAGATTTTGATGAAGTGATTTCAGTTATTTTAGTAGACATTTTCCCCCCAATCACGTTACCTTTTGTTTTAAAACCACACTCATGGTTTTCAAGTCCAGTTTCCCTTAATACAGTATACACTATATCGCCAAAAGTATTCGCTCACTTGCCTTTATTCGCATATGAACTTACAGTATTTAACCTGTGATTATGTCTTCCCGACTGAATTGCTGTTAGTATTCCCCCCCCCCCCTTTGGATTCATTGTTGAGTCACTGATACTGCATTAGTGCTCATAATGTGGCTAGATATTCCTTAGTCCAGTGATCTCCAACCTTGGCAACTTTAAGACTTGTGGACTTCAACTCCCAGAGTTCCTCAGCCAGCAAAGCTGGCTGAGGAACTCTGGGAGTTGAAGTCCACAGGTCTTAAAGTTGCCAAGGTTGGAGACCACTGCCTTAGTCTACTCCATGCTTCATTCATTTTTATTATCCTACAGATGCATTATCAGTTATAACGTGACTTCTCCAAATTAATGACTTTTTTCATTATTCTTTGTGCTAATTACAGTTAGTCTGGATTTTATTCAGACTGATTTTCATTTGTATTAATATGAGTATTGGGTAGAGAATTTGTAACAACATCTGTCAGCAGGGATCTGGAGCAAGCGACATGTCCATATGGGAATGCATGGGGCAGGCAGAGGTTGAGGGGAGCAGGTAGTCCTGCAAGTACTACATAGGGCAGCCTTTGAAGAGTATTCGGAGACTTCAACTCATCCAGAATGCAGCCGCGCGAGCGATTGTGGGTGCACCTCGGCACGCCCACATTACACCTATCCTCCATGAGCTGCACTGGCTACCAATCGGTCTCCGGATACGCTTCAAAGTGCTAGTTGTAACTTATAAAGCCCTTCATGGTATTGGACCTGGGTACTTGAGAGACCGCCTGCTGCCAATTACCTCCCAAAGACCCGTCAGATCTCACAGGATCGGCCTCCTCCGGGTTCCGTCCACCAGCCAATGCCATCTGGCTACTACCCGGGGGAGGGCCTTCTCTGTAGCAGCTCCGGCCCTTTGGAATGAACTCCCCGCGGAAATCCAGACCCTCACCTCTCTCCAGGCCTTCCGGAAAGCCGTCAAAACCTGGCTGTGCCGGCAGGCCTGGGGTTGATGAGTTCCCCTCCCCTCTCGACTGGTATGGCTGTGTGATTTTCGTGTATTTTAATTATGTGTACTGTTGTTTATGTTCCCTTTCCCCCCTGAGTTGTTCGCCGCCCTGAGTCCCTCCTGGAGAAGGGCAGCATACAAATAAACCAAATACAATACAATACAATACAATACAATACAAAGTAGCTCGGTTCTATGGTATCTAAAGCTTTAAAGGCAATAACCAGGAAACTTGAATTGCACCTCAACATCTATTGGGAGCCAATATAAGTTCATATGCGAGTAAAGGCAGGTGAGCGAATACTTTTGGCAATATAGTGTATGTTCAACATATAAGTTGAAGGGGAAAGGATACAGCCTTATCTGATATATTTCTCATACTGGTCTGAACTATGGCTTTAAACTCTGTCCTGGAACTATTGTCTATTATACTTTGGAGTGGTGAGATAATTTTATTGTGTTCTTAACCTAAAAAAGGTAAGTAAGCAAATTATATGTGCACTTTGATTTACAAAGCTTGGAAAATGTTTCACATGGTAAACTAGCTGGTTTATTTTTAAATATCTCCTGAACTGTCCTAAGATAAGAAGAGGAGAAACGACATGAAAGCACAACACAATGACTGTACTTCATGGCATCGACTGTCATCCTTTAGTTATTACAGGAGTGAACCTCATGTATTTCTTGTAGTGTTGACCACATATCAGTGTGGTACCACATGCTTGCTGATATGTGCCTGTAAAACTCCCTCTTTATCAGAAAAAGTTGCTGCACAAATTTTTAATCTATTTAATTCATGTTTTATATCTGAGGCAGCAATTTATATCTGGGTTTCCACCCCCTTGATAAGTCTGGGGTTTTTTCCCCATCCAATTCTCGGATGGTCCATGGAGATCATCAACACATTTTGTATTCCAGCTGTTACAATCCAGTTAAAATGATTCCTCCAAAACACTTGATTTTTTTTTATTCCATAATGACCAGACAGGGTGGTACAAACCAATCTTGTGCTCTTTAAATTTCTACAGTACCTAACAGTTACATTTTTCCCCACTAGAATAGAAGATCATTCTAAGCCAGCTTTCCCAGTTGCGTGCCTTCAATGTGTGTTAGAATTACAGCTCCCAGAATTTCTCTGTGTGATTTTTTTCGTGGGAATTCTGGATGTTGCAATAGGACTGAAGAAGGCCTTTCCAAGCACTTGTATCTTGTAGTTGATTGTATTTGAAATGTGATAACACAGCTGTGAATTATAAGCTTGTATATTTTCACATTTTTTTCTTGGACAGATATAACAGACATGCAAGAGAATGGACACAGAAATATGCAATGTAAACTTTGAAGACATTTTCTTATATACCAGAGTACTGTAAATTTTAGGGTTTTTCAAAATTAGAAGTAAATGGAGCACAGTTTACTGTTTTCGGTGTACCATGAAGCCCTTTTTGATTTTTACCCATATAAGTGTGTTTCTGGAACAAGGAAATTAACTACAGAAATTAACCTGAAGACTGTGACGAGAGTATTTATCCTTTCTGTATGCTTTGCAAAAGACATTTATTATGTTTTTTAAAGATACTTGGACATCTGCATCTCCAGCCTACAAGATTCATAGTGCAGTTGTAGAGCAACCAAACTATTTTTGCTGAAAACTAGGTGGTACATAATAAATATTCTGTGTCTTTGAGATGTCAGTCTTGTAAGTCTGTTTGAATGTCATTCTTTGTTAGCTCATTGTATAATTTGTATTTTTTTACTGTATAGACTATATTTTATTTACCATATATTTCAACTCATTTTAGACTTTCTGCACAGTATTGAAAAATACAACTGCTACTAAATGAGTGAACTATTCCTTCCCAAAGGAATATTCTATAAACTGATAGACTTCTAAAAACAAACTTTGCACTCTAATCTTCAGTATGCTGATTATGGGGAAACACATGGTTTTGATTTTGTTGCATTCTTTTATTGCAATGTGAACTAATTGCACTGCTCTGTAGAAAGAAATGTAACTAATTTTGTTCTATTCACAGCTGACTTTTTATCCCATATGGGCAATATAATCTCTGACATGTTAACAAGATTGACTTGAAGCTTTTCCGTATAAATAAAACATGTTTTTTACTACTTGTCTTGGCTGTTCTTTAAATCTAGCACATTCTTTACATGTGCATGCTCTGAAAAGATCAAAATATTGTTCAATATATAAAGTATCATGGGAATAACTGACCCGTGTGCTTGAAAATGCTCCTGAGAGCATTATTGTAGCTTTTAAACAAATTACTTACTCATTGTATTCTATTGATCTAAGCGGATCGAACTTTTATCCAGTATAAACAAATGTACCTTCAAGCTTGCAAAGTAGTTTGGAAAATGTGCTTATGATGAAAACAGTTGATTTTAGAAAATCACAAACGCTTCTTCCCCCAGCTGTATAACAATATTTTGATCTGATATTTCTACACACAAACTAATGCTAAAGCCAGTATGTGTATACTGCATGTTTGGGGAAAAACAGCCTTTGGTTCCTTACAGATAAGTGCATTATTTTTGTAATGTAGATTTTGTGGTACTAAACCAGTATGAAATGCATTTTAATTTGTAGCTGAAATAATTCTTTAAAAAACAACAATTTAGCTAGAAGATTTTGCTGCCATAAAAGTTAACCCTTTTTTATCTTAGTGCTTTGGGAGCCAAAAAATATTCAAACAAAAACCCATAATTGGAATGCATCAAAATGTGGCAAACATCCCAGAGGCTATTTTTCTATTTACTTGCTTTACTCATAATCTTTTTAGCATTTTAATCTCCACATTTTTGCATCATGCTAATTGCCTTTGAAAAAGTCTTTACTGAGCATTTTATGCATAATAATCAGCTAGGCTTCAGAGGTTTTTTGTCTGTTTTGTTTTACCTCAGTACAATCTAAAGATGGAAGCTTTATAAGATAGCACTGAAACTTCATTGCATTAGTGTCATTGCTTACTGTGAAACAGGCCATCTCTGCAAATAGCCAAAACATGTTTCCATGCAGTAAAATGAATCCTTCGTTATACTTGAAAAAAAAAAGGGATGCCATTGCTTGTGAAACTATTAACATTGTCATCAGCATTTAAAAGTGGTGGTAAAAAGATCCTGACTTTCCACATTTTATCTGTATTAAATGTTTAATCGGTTTGTCCCAGAATATCCCATATCTCTTCTTATTAATAATAGGCTCTGTGAAATTTGGTAGTTTGATTTGCATGGCTGTCAAGTGAAAAGAGTGTTTAATCTGCTTTACTGAAATTATATGAAAGATGGTTTGAAATTATTTAGATGTTGTTATGCTTTGAAGTATACTTAATCGGAGGAATTTACTAACCATAATGCAAAATCTTCAGGCTGAGCAAAAGGTGCAAATAAGGTTGCCCCTTAATCTTCATGGGATTGTATGAAGTATCATTTAAGTACCACAAATGTCTTCAGTTGACATTTAAAACTGAAGTTCAGAGGCTGGGTTCACCAACTGAACTTCCAGACTAACCTTAATAACAGTAACATCTTTTAAGCAGATACGGACCAGAGATTCAGTTAACTAAAAGGTGTTAAGAATTCTCTGTAATATTTTTTTTTGCATTTTCTGGAAATTGGTCATTTTTTGTTTTGTTTTTAAGTGAATCATGATGGTTGGTTTTAATCACCCACCCACCCCCATCTCAATATTTGCTCAGTCCTGGTGCATCCATTATGGTGGCATAAATGTGTCTGAACTTCAGTCCCTCCACCAAATGCCAGTTTATACTGTACAGTGCCTTAGCGAGGGCACTAACTGAGCCATCCCATTTTCTGTATAATCCTCACTTGGCATTATTGGTATGACTAAAGCAAAGGATCTCTTATCAGTGAAATTCTTAAAATGTTAAATCTTTAGTCATTCTAGTTAATGTTAAACAAGGCGTGCTTTCTAGCTACTTCTGATGTGGTGTTTTTCTGCCTGAAGATGTCAGCTGAGGCTTGAATGAAAATAAAATTTTGATTTGAACTTCGAATTTGTAAAGTTGTATTTTTAACCCAGCAGTTTCACCTGTATGAATGGGGGAAAAAAAGCAGGGCAGTAGTGCTGTCCAAATGTCAACTTGGTGCTATGAATAAAACTAGAACTTCTGTTATTATATTACACAAATTCAGTAGGGCTGCTTTGAGCAAAGTATTTTCCAAAGGGGGAGGATATAATGGCTCCTATAATCCGCAGAAATATTGAAAGAATCATGCGTCCACTTCTTCAACATAATTCACAGAAATAAGATATTTACGCTCTTGCATTAAAGAACTAGAAACCAAAAGGTACAGATGCAAACTTAATATTTCATTGTTAATTCACCATTAGCAAAATAAGCAGAAGCCGCTTTCAATGTTTCATGATCTTGAGCAAAATTCGTCGATTTATGCTGCTTTCGAAAGACAATATTAGATTTTTTTTTAAAAAATACAGTAAATGTTAGAAGGGTGTATAGCACCAGAAAGCCCAAGTGGGGAAAAAAATCTCCAGAAACGAAAGAGCACAAGCTGTTGAAAGACACCACCGTCTACTACAGTGTTTCCCAACCTTGGCCACTTGAAGATATCCGGACTTCAACTCCCAGAATTCCCCAGCCAGCATTCGCTGGCTGGGGAATTCTGGGAGTTGAAGTCCGGACATCTTCAAGTGGCCAAGGTTGGGAAACACTGTAGTAGACGGTGGTGTCTTTCAACAGCTTGTGCTCTTTCGTTTCTGGAGATTTTTTTCCCCACTTGGGCTTTCTGGTGCTATACACCCTTCTAACATTTACTGTATTTTTTTAAAAAAAATCT